GAAATTGGATGATCAATAATGGCGATTTCATCAGCCAGTTTCTTAACAGCATGGAGATAGTCTGTGATTGATCGATGTCCACGTTGAATTAAAGTGAGCTCTTCCTTCAACTGCATAGCACGAGTTCTAGATCTGCTAGCATATAGAATTTTGAGTTTTTTCCAAGCTCCATGAGATGTTGGAGCCGTGGCAATTAGGGGTGTTATTGAGGAGGAAGTGGAGGCTAGAATAGCACTTAAAATGAGTTTATCTTGTCTGATCCAGTGGTTCTTGTGTAGCTCATCAACAGTGGAACCAGAGGAGGAAGGACATGAGAACGTGCCTTCAACATAATTGAGCAGATCATACCCTATGAGAAGTGCTTCAAACTGAGCACGCCATTGAAGAAAAGTAGAGGGGGTTAATTTTTCATTGATTTGTGCAGTGATATTGAGAGCAATGAGTGGCTTGTCTGTTGTGGAAAAGGGTTGAGGTTGAAGAGAGAAAGTTGAGGTCTGATTTGGAGAGGCAGACATTGTAGGTGCTTGGATTGTTGTCTCGTTAGTGATTTTTAGGCTCTGATACCATAAAGAGAAAGATTACAGACAATGCTTCAAAAGCTAATTTTAATAGATGAGAACGGTTCCTTGTATTTACAATGACAGAAAGTCCATATAAGGAATGTTTAAATGTTTATGCTAAATTTACGTTACCATTACAGCTGTGGTTAATAAGCATTGTATCTGGTGAAATTACAAATGAATGACAGAATAATTACAAATGAATGACAGGATAATTAGCATGATTGTAGGCTAATTGTGTGTTGTTTAATGATCTGTAGAATCTTCCTTGATACACCTATGGCTATTACATTGTTTTGGAACTGCAAGATAGCATTTGATTGTTATATTGGAATATAAAAACTTGGAAGATTGGGATGAATAGAATAAAATGAAACAAGATATATTAAAAAAAAATTATATTCCGTAGCAGTATACAAAATGTTTTTATATTTTGCTTGATTGATTAAGAATGACATAGAAAAGTCTGTTTGAAATATTAAAGAGATATCATTAGTTTTTAAACATTACTTTTTTATCTATTAAAATGACAATTTCTCTGCTAATCAAAATCATGTTAAAAAAAATTGTAATCATCTTAACAAAAAAGATAATTGACTATAATTCAATTATGATTTAGTCAATTATTAAATTATTTATCTATATATATTTAATAATAAAATAAATAATTAAACAAATCATATATTAAATAAAATATGTGCGCCAACATGAAGTTAAAATATAATATAGTTGAAAACATAAAATAATAATTTTATCATATATATATATATATCATTATTTGTTAAAATCTAACATTTTTTATATAGCTTTTAGTTTTTAGATATAACAGTGAAAATTCAGTTAATTAAAATCAATGTATTTAGTTTATATATCCTCATAAAAAAATGTTAAACAAAAAATATCCAATAAAAATCTAGAATTTATACATATTTAAAACAACTATAAGCATGTAAACGTATAATTAAAGATGAAAATGCTTTCAACACTAAATAAATAAAAATAAAAATACATTGGTGTTCATGTTTTAAATTTTATTCAATGTTGTTTTCCACTCAAAAAAGTCGAGATACTACATTTAATAGTTATTTCTTAAAAAATAGTGTTGACTGGTGAAACAACGGGGCATCAACCTTAAAAAAAAAAAAAAAAAAAAAGTTAAAGAAGTACAAAGGCGCAGTGACCCATGCATTTTTTTTTTAATGCTAGACCCAAGGCGCTTGAGTCTAACAACTATGCCTAATCTAAACATGTTTGTCAAACCCAATGTGTTTTTGCTGGTATGGTTGTCAAATCCAAATCGCTTAAACTTAGCGTGTTGCCTGACCCAAACATAGGTCTGACATTATTGTTACACGCATCCTTAAATTTACCTTTTTTTTATTAATCTCTAATTTTAGTGAAGAAATCATCTACAAAATTGCACAAATTAAGATAGTTAAAAGGACAATAAATCTTTTACATATATAATATATTTTTTTTCTATAATATAATGTATTAGTTCAAAAGTTTTCTCTTATGATCATATATTTTAAATTTTTGTATATACTAATACTTATAATGTAGAATAAACTCTCATTATAACAAATTTTGACAATTAGATCGTACATCATCTTAAATTTAAAAAAAGTATGAACTCGTTAAAAAACTATTTAATACTTGTATGAAAACATAAAATTAATATTTTCATCTATGATACATATAAAAAATAAAAGTTTATTTTTAAAGACTTGAAATAAATTTAAGATGTATACAAAAAGCATGAACTCGCTAAAAAACTGTCCAACACTTGTATGAAAACATAAAATAATATTTTTTTCATTCTTTCATCTTTGAATATAACAAATTTATAAAATAAGCTGTATAAATAAAAAAAAAGTTTATAATTAAGTTCTACTACAAATGAATACAAAAATTAGTTTGAGTGAGGCAATGTTTATTATTGCAGTCCAATCATGTTTTTGAAAAATCTTAAATTTTTCAACCCAAGTGCGGTTTTGGCATGACTGCTAGGTCCAAGTGCATGGGTTTATACTAAAACACTTTGGGTCTGACAGCTATACTAGACCCAATGCATTTAATTATGACAAATATGCATGATTTGATAAATAACAAAAAAGAAAACAATTATTTATTTTAGTTGTTATGAGAGAGAAAGAAACACAAACAATCAATTATCAGCAACAATTTAAATATTATTTATTTATACGCGTCACACTAAATAAAAAAAAATAGCTGTGTATATAGTAAGATGATAAATAACTAGATTTAGCTACTAAGAAAAATCACAAGTCCTCTCCTTAATTATGCAAATGCTATTCTTTCCTTGGAAAAAAAAAAAGAAATTCAAAGAAATATCTCATCAAAAAATAAAAAATAAAATTACCATTTCAATTCACAATAAAAAAATTTCTTGATTTACCAAGATTTCCCGTAACATTTAATTTTTGTTACAATGAAGCTACATACTACTACGAGGACATTTCAAGTGTTCAAAGAAGTCACAGTGCAACCACGAATTAAAACACAGACTGCACAAACACCATAAGCATCTGGAAAGAGGAAATCTGAGGCAGTTGATAGTGTTGGAAGCTGCAGCACCAGCACCAGCACGCACCTTCCTTTTCAACAACATATCCAGCGCGTAACTTCTGGCTGCACACAGTTCTTCCCTCTATAAAATATGATGGTACCTTCGAACATGGTTCTTCCCTCCACTCAATCTGGCATGGCCAAATTTGCAAGAAGATTTGCAAATGACCTTTACAGTTTCGTGCATCTTCCAGTGCGCATAAGCATGTTAAAGAATGGCACCTCCAAATAATCCTCTTCTGCCATCTTTTTCATGAAAAACCGCAGCTCACCAGTCAATTCATGTGGTTTGACCTCAGGAGGACCCTGCATTTTAGGAAACTCATGCCGCTTGAGTCCTTCAATCACTTTGTCTTCCTTAATTTTGGCCTGTGATTGATCCTCACATTGATTCCTTCATAGTTTCTTTTTTCTAAAAACAAGTTATTTAAACAAAAAAAAAATCTACTTTTTAAAATTGGATCAAAAGATGTTCAGCTTGCAAGCGAGTGTTTGATATCATGAGGTAAGATGTTTTTTAAATGTTTTTTTTTTTTAAATATATTAAAATATTAATTCTTTGTTTTTGATATTAGTATATAAAAACCATCAAACGGAAACATAATCTATGGGATCTTTTGATGGATGAACAATACCATCTACAAATTCAATTAAAAAATGGGATTGAGAATTTGATTATCGGATGAGTTCCATTTGGGTGGCAAAATTACAACAACTTTTAGTTTGGTACTGATTTCAGCTATACTCAATATTTAAGAGACCAAGAGGAGAGATTTACAGATAAGTAGTGATCATACGTGTAAATGTGCACTCTTCTTACCACGTGTTGACCCACCAGTCGTTCAAAATAGGAAGTCTTGACTTCTTCTTTCTATCCAGTCCAATCAATGTTTGCCACGTCACCTTTACCTCGCGTCCCCATTCTTATTAGCCTGAACTCGCACTTTCCTCTTTCAGTCTCCCCTCTCTGTGTGGCTTCCTGGAACTTTAGCCCTAAATCGATCTTTGCAATTTTTTTCAAGTAAGTGAAAATTCTTATCAAGATTTTAATCTTTTATTAGCTTATTTATTCATATATTTTATTTTAATCTGGATTTTATATTAGTTCTTTAAATTGGGTTGTGAGTAATAAATAAAGAAGTGATTTTTAATGGGATTGGAGTGTATATTATGGATTAAGTGTCTGTTTGGATTGTGGGGAATCAAGGGAGTTATAAATTTTTAATCCTTTTTATGGAAGTTGATTTTTTTTAATTTCTATCATTTTCTTGTTGTAATTTTTTGTTATTTGGATATTGGTGGCGATTAGAATTGTGGGTTTAGGGTTTTAATGTGTTTGAATATGAGTTTTGTTTGGTCACTGAGAAAATGAGCGGAAAAGGGAGAAAAATGTTTTTGTTGTGAGAAAAGTTCACCAGTAAGCAGAAGTTTGAGAGTATCAATTTTTTGTTTCTTTTAATGATTGATTGGTGAAAAGAGAGAAAAATGTTTTTGTTGTGCGAAAAGTTCACCGGTAAGCAGAAGTTTGAGAGTATCAATTTTTTGTCTCTTTTAATGATTGACTGGTCGAGTGTTCATTAGTGTGTTTTAGTGTTCTGTTCCTCGTTTTTTTTTTTTGTGGAAAATTTCAATTTCAAAACTTATGCAAATAGTAAGGAAACTATTTGCATATATATATATATTGAAAGTTCTGTGAGGATACTGAAAGAAGAACAAAGAGAGATCAATTTCTTGGGAATAATCTCGTTTTAAGCCTTTCTCATTAAGGTTGAAAAATAACTAATTGACAAATACAGGTGCCAACTAACTCTACTTGGTTAGAGTCTGGTGAGCATTGTAATAGGTTTGGCATCGAATCCTTAGGAATTTCACTAACTGATTTATGCAAAGTGTTGATCCTGTTGTGATGATTAATTGATACGGGTAATATGTGTATGCTCTATTATGGGAACTTTGTGATTTTAATGCATGCATAGTTTCAATACGTGGTCTAGAATCTAGATCTGTTTCGCTTGGCAAATAGAGCTGATTCGATTCGTTGGTGTAAAGATTCAAAGTCTTTATGAACAAATCGTACAATGAATTGATTTTGACCACTGCTACTATTTTCGTAGCTTATTTGTTGGTAATAAACTCGAATTTTGCTTGTTTTATGTCAAATTTTATAGGAATTGTGTCATAAACAGGTACTTTTTGTTTTTTGTTTTTCTATGACTAAACAAGCTTTGCTTTTATTTTTATCTCTTAGTTCTTCATAGGGCACAACTTTGCTTCTTCCTTGGTTCCTAAAACCGCTGTTTGCTAATATAGTGATGAGTCCGTTTACTATAAAGGAGCTTCATGATGATGTGGTTACTATATATGCAGAATGCCTTTTGAGGCTGCCTTAGCCATGCGTACTTCTATTCTGTCTTACCATATCTCCAACCATAATCTTTGAACATATTGCTGGAGTCTATCTTGCAAATAGAATAAAAGAGACCCTATTTGTGAGAGACAAGCAATTAGTAACAAGCAAAAAGCCTAATTTTTTCAATAGTGGCATGGGGTGCCAAGACAATTTCAAAACCCACTTGTGCTCATATATTGGCCAAACTGTTCATCCTCCCAAGTCATTTGTTTTCTTTTTAACAAAATTGATTCCTTATAAGACTATTTCATAACCTTTTTGACACATTCTACCAGACAACTCAGCCCAACTCTCTCTTTGCGAAGAAAAACGCACATACACCAGGTAATGCATGTATGCATGCGTTACAGCTGTGAAAGGTTCCACAGCATGTATGCATGACTCAATTGGTACGACTAAGGCTAACACTTAATAGACAAAGGCCATGTGGGTTTTGTTATGAGGAAAGATTGTTAGGCTTTGTTGTTTTATGCCATCTGTGCAATCCCTTTGTTTACCTGGTTCAAAAGAATTGCTAGAGTTTTTAAGTATTCAGTTCATTAAGAACATTATGGCTTAGAGACTGAACCCTCAACCTTTTCATCTCTATTCAAAGATAGGGCTTTTAACAGCATGTTTTAGCTAATAAGATGTCGTGTGGGCATGAAAGTCATTGAAATAGTTGATGTTGTTTTTGCAGTGGACTTCATTGTTGATAATGATGCTAATGGTGATATAGCTGGAAATGTGGCCGTGGACATTGCTAGGGCTAGAGATGAAAACGAAGTCGTTGAAAATTCTGTTGAAGGAGAATTTGAACAGTATGATCATAAAATGGATAAAGAGTCTTTGGCTATAGATATGATCCCAGATGCAGTTCCAGCTATGTCAATGGTTGCTGCAGATGAGCCATACATAGGACAGGAGTTTGATTCAGAAGCATCTGCACATGCATTTTACAATGCTTATGCCACACGCATAGGATTCATCATCCGTGTAAGCAAACTTTCTCGATCAAGACGTGATGGATCTGCTATTGGCCGAGCGCTTGTTTGCAATAAAGAGGGCTTCAGAATGCCTGACAAGCGTGAAAAGATTGTAAGACAAAGGGCAGAAACAAGGGTTGGTTGCAGGGCAATGATTTTGGTGAGAAAAGTAAGTTCTGGAAAATGGGTGGTTACAAAGTTTGTGAAGGAGCATACTCATTCCTTGACACCTGGAAAAGCTCGAAGGGATTGCATTTATGATCAATACCCGGTTAGTTCTTGCACCATTATCATTAAGTTAATATCAGCTGATTGAGTTTTGACATCATAAAGTGATAAATTCAAAGAGTGAAATTGATCAAGTTATTTACTGGGATCCAAAAACTTATAATGAGGTCCTTGGGCATTAAATTAATATCAGTTTAGGAACTTAAGAACCTATGGACCTATATTTTTGCTTTCAGTGGGTCCAAAGATCTAGGCAGCTAAGAGGTATGCATTCTTTTTGAGATGCTATCAAATTTTGATGCAATATTTTAATGTTAATAAGCTGTGCTTGTACACATCTCGAAGGCTGAAAAATCTCTATGATGTACTTGTAACGGCCTTCCACTGGTTTATTTTTGTTGCTGTTACAACCAGTGTTTTTTCTTTCCTTTTCTTTTGCAGAATGAACACGATAAGATTAGGGAATTATCACAGCAGCTGGCCATGGAGAAAAAGAGAGCTGCGACCTATAAAAGGCACCTGGAATTGATTTTTGAGCAGATTGAGGAACATAACGAGAGTCTATCAAAGAAGATCCAACATATAGTACACAGTGTGAGGGGCATGGAAAACAAACCACAGCAGAGTCAGACATAGTTTCAGCATTATTTGTTCCAGAGCACACAGTTCATAATGGTATACAGAATGCTGCTGGTTGTATAGCATACTCTTCCTCTTGGCTTAGATACCAGATGCTGACCTTGTTCTAGCGTTTAGTTTTAGGTGTCTAGTTAGTTTATTAAAACCTTGTGAAGATGTTTGGTTCAGTTGACATTCATTTGAATACATTGTATAACTGTGCTCCTCTTTCTGGAGCACACGGTGAGCAGGAGAAATAGAGAGTTCCTGTACAGTTCTTCTGGTCCATGTTTGTCAGAGGATTAGCCGAAAGATAAACGTCCAGTTCATAGAGAGCATAGGCGTCGCCATGGGAAGCTGAAAATAATACCCTGTTTCCATTTTTTTTGGAAGCCCATTTGAGTCGAGTTCTGTGTATAGCATATGGATGGTTTTTGGTTTTGCTATTTATAGTTGTTGAATATCATTGTCTTTAAAAATCCATTGTATTGTGGGTTCATAATTTTCTTCATGGTCCAAGAATTATGTTTCAAGGTTCTGAACCCTTTACCAGGATTTCCACTTTAAACTGTTGAGCCAAAATAAATAAATAAAATTGTAACATAAGTATTTGTACTTCGTAGATCACGTGTACATGGATTCTACTTTGTGGGACTCGCAAAGATTGAAATTATATTATAAATCATTATTATTGTTTTTACATCAACAAATTATAAAACCAATCCTGGGTTCCTAGAGATTTTAATTTTTTTTCTTAAAATAATTTTTTTATATTTTTAAATTATTTTAATATATTAATATTAAAAATATTTCTTTTTTATTTTAATTTAAAAATAAAACATTTTGAATCATCATCGCTACTATAATTCCAAATAAATTCTAATATGATGTTTGAAAATATAATAATAGTTGTGGTTTAAAATAATTTTTATTAAAAATATATTAAAATAATTTTTTTTATTTTTTTTATGACAATACAAGAAAAAAATTTAAAAATAAAAAAAATAATTTTAAAAAAACATAATATAAACCATATTTTTAAAAACAATATAAATCTAGGTGTTCAATATTTTCAGCGAGAAGCTTGGGCTTCTACTGATGGCCATGGTGGTTAAAACTAGAATGTTGTTATTATTATTATTATTATAATAGAAAACACTAGTCCATGGGGGAGATTTATTGTGCAAAAATGCACAGTGGATCCCATTTGAGTATTCACTGTTTACAATTTTTTTTATTCTTTTCTATTTTTTTTCACCATTTCAGGATCATCCCCAAGACCACTTTAAGTTAAATTGGAGATAAAATTAAAAAATAAATTATCAAAGTTAAAAAGATAGGTAAAATAGATGGGGTTTAAAAATTTACATAAAAATTTTCATTTTTATTTTTTAACTTTCTCAATGATACCTTTTCGGTCCTTAAGTTTTTTAAAGTTAATTTTAATATAAAATTTTATTTTTTTATTTTTTCAATTTCTAATTAGAAAAAAAAATAATATCAAATTTTAATAATAAAAATAATAAGTTGCTATTGAGATTGATTTCAGTAACGACCAAGCTTAATATTGGTGTCCACAAATCTTATTTAATGATAAAAGTTTAGTTTTAGTGTCATTTCACCTTGAATTAACATGGAAAAATAGATCTAATATTTAAAAATTTTTAAGTTTCATGTTAATTATTTTTTTGGGCTGATTTTTTTAGTTGTTTTAAGGAATTAAAGGGTTTATGAGGATGTCTAGATTGTTTTGTAGGTGTTTTTAAATTAAAAAAACCAAGTCATTTGTTTTCTTTTTAACAAAATTGATTCCTTATAAGACTATTTCATAACCTTTTTGACACATTCTACCAGACAACTCAGCCCAACTCTCTCTTTGTGAAGAAAAACGCACATACACCAGGTAATGCATGTATGCATGCGTTACAGCTGTGAAAGGTTCCACAGCATGTATGCATGACTCAATTGGTACGACTAAGGCTAACACTTAATAGACAAAGGCCATGTGGGTTTTGTTATGAGGAAAGATTGTTAGGCTTTGTTGTTTTATGTCATCTGTGCAATCCCTTTGTTTACCTGGTTCAAAAGAATTGCTAGAGTTTTTAAGTATTCAGTTCATTAAGAACATTATGGCTTAGAGACTGAACCCTCAACCTTTTCATCTCTATTCAAAGATAGGGCTTTTAACAGCATGTTTTAGCTAATAAGATGTCGTGTGGGCATGAAAGTCATTGAAATAGTTGATGTTGTTTTTGCAGTGGACTTCATTGTTGATAATGATGCTAATGGTGATATAGCTGGAAATGTGGCCGTGGACATTGCTAGGGCTAGAGATGAAAACGAAGTCGTTGAAAATTCTGTTGAAGGAGAATTTGAACAGTATGATCATAAAATGGATAAAGAGTCTTTGGCTATAGATATGATCCCAGATGCAGTTCCAGCTATGTCAATGGTTGCTGCAGATGAGCCATACATAGGACAGGAGTTTGATTCAGAAGCATCTGCACATGCATTTTACAATGCTTATGCCACACGCATAGGATTCATCATCCGTGTAAGCAAACTTTCTCGATCAAGACGTGATGGATCTGCTATTGGCCGAGCGCTTGTTTGCAATAAAGAGGGCTTCAGAATGCCTGACAAGCGTGAAAAGATTGTAAGACAAAGGGCAGAAACAAGGGTTGGTTGCAGGGCAATGATTTTGGTGAGAAAAGTAAGTTCTGGAAAATGGGTGGTTACAAAGTTTGTGAAGGAGCATACTCATTCCTTGACACCTGGAAAAGCTCGAAGGGATTGCATTTATGATCAATACCCGGTTAGTTCTTGCACCATTATCATTAAGTTAATATCAGCTGATTGAGTTTTGACATCATAAAGTGATAAATTCAAAGAGTGAAATTGATCAAGTTATTTACTGGGATCCAAAAACTTATAATGAGGTCCTTGGGCATTAAATTAATATCAGTTTAGGAACTTAAGAACCTATGGACCTATATTTTTGCTTTCAGTGGGTCCAAAGATCTAGGCAGCTAAGAGGTATGCATTCTTTTTGAGATGCTATCAAATTTTGATGCAATATTTTAATGTTAATAAGCTGTGCTTGTACACATCTCGAAGGCTGAAAAATCTCTATGATGTACTTGTAACGGCCTTCCACTGGTTTATTTTTGTTGCTGTTACAACCAGTGTTTTTTCTTTCCTTTTCTTTTGCAGAATGAACACGATAAGATTAGGGAATTATCACAGCAGCTGGCCATGGAGAAAAAGAGAGCTGCGACCTATAAAAGGCACCTGGAATTGATTTTTGAGCAGATTGAGGAACATAACGAGAGTCTATCAAAGAAGATCCAACATATAGTACACAGTGTGAGGGGCATGGAAAACAAACCACAGCAGAGTCAGACATAGTTTCAGCATTATTTGTTCCAGAGCACACAGTTCATAATGGTATACAGAATGCTGCTGGTTGTATAGCATACTCTTCCTCTTGGCTTAGATACCAGATGCTGACCTTGTTCTAGCGTTTAGTTTTAGGTGTCTAGTTAGTTTATTAAAACCTTGTGAAGATGTTTGGTTCAGTTGACATTCATTTGAATACATTGTATAACTGTGCTCCTCTTTCTGGAGCACACGGTGAGCAGGAGAAATAGAGAGTTCCTGTACAGTTCTTCTGGTCCATGTTTGTCAGAGGATTAGCCGAAAGATAAACGTCCAGTTCATAGAGAGCATAGGCGTCGCCATGGGAAGCTGAAAATAATACCCTGTTTCCATTTTTTTTGGAAGCCCATTTGAGTCGAGTTCTGTGTATAGCATATGGATGGTTTTTGGTTTTGCTATTTATAGTTGTTGAATATCATTGTCTTTAAAAATCCATTGTATTGTGGGTTCATAATTTTCTTCATGGTCCAAGAATTATGTTTCAAGGTTCTGAACCCTTTACCAGGATTTCCACTTTAAACTGTTGAGCCAAAATAAATAAATAAAATTGTAACATAAGTATTTGTACTTCGTAGATCACGTGTACATGGATTCTACTTTGTGGGACTCGCAAAGATTGAAATTATATTATAAATCATTATTATTGTTTTTACATCAACAAATTATAAAACCAATCCTGGGTTCCTAGAGATTTTAATTTTTTTTCTTAAAATAATTTTTTTATATTTTTAAATTATTTTAATATATTAATATTAAAAATATTTCTTTTTTATTTTAATTTAAAAATAAAACATTTTGAATCATCATCGCTACTATAATTCCAAATAAATTCTAATATGATGTTTGAAAATATAATAATAGTTGTGGTTTAAAATAATTTTTATTAAAAATATATTAAAATAATTTTTTTTATTTTTTTTATGACAATACAAGAAAAAAATTTAAAAATAAAAAAAATAATTAAAAAAAACATAATATAAACCATATTTTAAAAAAAAATATAAATCTAGGTGTTCAATATTTTCAGCGAGAAGCTTGGGCTTCTACTGATGGCCATGGTGGTTAAAACTAGAATGTTGTTATTATTATTATTATTATAATAGAAAACACTAGTCCATGGGGGAGATTTATTGTGCAAAAATGCACAGTGTTAGTCCATGCGGGAGATTTATTGTGCAAAAATGCACAGTGGATCCCATTTGAGTATTCACTGTTTACAATTTTTTTTATTCTTTTCTATTTTTTTTCACCATTTCAGGATCATCCCCAAGACCACTTTAAGTTAAATTGGAGATAAAATTAAAAAATAAATTATCAAAGTTAAAAAGATAGGTAAAATAGGTGGGGTTTAAAAATTTATATAAAAATTTTTATTTTCATTTTTTTACTTTCTCAATGATACCTTTTCGGTCCTTAAGTTTTTTAAAGTTAATTTTAATATAAAATTTTATTTTTTTATTTTTTCAATTTCTAATTAGAAAAAAAAATAATATCAAATTTTAATAATAAAAATAATAAGTTGCTATTGACATTGATTTCAGTAACGACCAAGCTTAATATTGGTGTCCACAAATCTTATTTAATGATAAAAGTTTAGTTTTAGTGTCATTTCACCTTGAATTAACATGGAAAAATAGATCTAATATTTAAAAAATTTTAAGTTTCATGTTAATTATTTTTTTGGGCTGATTTTTTTAGTTGTTTTAAGGAATTAAAGGGTTTATGAGGATGTCTAGATTGTTTTGTAGGTGTTTTTAAATTAAAAAAAATAAAAATAAAAATAAATTTTTAAATTGAAAAAAGCCAGTCCTGATTTTTTTAACAATTTAAAAGTCATAAAAAACGAGAGATACAAATGATGCGTCATCTACAACACTTATAAAATCTTTACGGCTTGG